TTCGTGGCACTTGTAATTGCAGCATAATCTTTATTAATTGCATTTTCTTAAAAAAAAATATCAAATATTGTTACCATTACCATTCGACTCGGTTGTATCATTTCGTCTCTATAATATAATTTTCTCTGAACATTCCTTTATCATTCTATCAGCTACTAATAAAATGTCCAGGGCTAGCTCCTACACAAACATTAGGTAACTAATTCTATCAAGATAATTTAAATGTTAAATTATGATTAAATATAATTTTAACCCTTTTGCAAAAAACACACTTCGTTGTGTGTTTTAAATACCGATGTTTCTATCTTGTGTTATTTAATTAAAAAACGTTTAAAGCCCCGGCGTTTTCTTTGCCTCGGGGACTGTCTGTCACTAGCTATTACTGGTTGTGTGTGGTATAATAAAGTTTTAGCAAATCGTTACTACATTGTTTAAATCTATTTATTGCTCTACAACTATCACAATATTAATAAATGAAGTTAGTTGCAAGCAATTTTACAGCCATGTTTGACATGATGGAAGTACGCATGTTTTCACTTGCCATAAGTAGCTGTATCGTTCAGAGCCATACCAAGTAAGTTGCAAATCGCTATCACTGGTTAGTAAATTGCATTAGCTCTCTCTTAACGAGTATTGATTAAATTACCAATTGTAATTACTAGCAGCGATTCCTTAGAATAGTAAATATAGGTTTTTATATATATGCGTATCTTATTGACTTTTGAAGTTAGATAATAATTATAATTTAATGTTATTCGTTTGCAGAAAGGGAGAATAAATAAAAATAACGTTAGATTCTTATTTTTCCAGTCAAGGTCAGACAATGATGGACGGAAGGATGAATTAATTATTACGTAAAGTGCGTCATATTATTATTATTAAATATTATAATTAATATTATATTTCAATGAGCATAAGGTGTATTACAATGGACTGCTTTTTGATGATAAGTATAAATCTGTAGATGTATAAATGAACAATAAATACCTATTTTATACGAGGCTGTATACAGATAACTTTCGTAACTGCTTACCATCTTTAGCACTAGTGAGACTGGTTTACTGTGTCATATTCTTATCTTACCAATGTCCAAGCAAAAAGAAACGTTGGAGAAGAGCTTCATTAAGACCAACGTAAAAAGTTGCAAAGTATGTAATATATTTTTAAATGGGAAATTGAAAAATATCCGAGTAACTCTCTAACCGAGTTTGATATTGAGAAATTTGACTTATGTAGCAAATTTTTTATGTAGGTTAGTGTTGGAGAATGATAATTCGTTTCGTTTCGTTGCTTTGCCTTTGTCCGCTTTACACTACAATAAGTACAGTGGTAAGTTAACTTACTCTGGCTGGTTATGTTCTTAATGTCGTTTGAACGGGCTTTCTTTCCTATATTAGGTGTTATTAACTGTCTTATAAACTGCGTATGTTACTAAATTTCCTTTAAGATACTTAAATTTCAGTTATCAAACTTTAAGTTTTTAAACTTAATTCATACTTTTACTTTCCGACAAACCAGTTCGTAATTAAGAATACGCACCTGGCCGATTGAAACGAACCGTGAATATTAATAATAATGGCCTCATCTCAGCCCACTGATCGTCACAAAAACAAAGTGTTTTAAACAGAGACAATTTTATTAAATACGTTTTACACTGTTTACTTTAACCATAAACTTTAATGGCGTTTTTTAAGCTGTGTACTTAATTTTTATTTTTAGTTACAAGATTCCGTATTATATTGTCGTATATAATATATTTTTTTAGTAATGTGTGAAAACAAAGTAAGTACGCTATATTTTAATGATGGATAATATTTTGAATCCAATATTTTTTTGTAATTGTAATTTATCTTGTTTCTTTATAATTTTCACGGTCGTTGCTCAGTTTGTTTTAGGTATATTTCAATTATAACAAAACATTAATATTATTTTATTAATATTATAAGAAGTTTACTAATTCAAATTTTAATTAAATACCTACTTGCATTATTTAGCAATGAAATAAATTCCAGTTCGGGATATTTTTCTGAATGAGTCATTAAATAATTGAATTGTTCGTCTTTTAAATGTTAACATAATGCGAAATATAAAAATCAACTCTTTGTTGTTGATTTTTATATTTCCTTTTTTTTAAAAATGAAGAATCTTATTGATTTTTTGTCACGCTCCGTGTGTAAGGTACCTAATTTTATTCTATCACTTATAGTTGACCGCGTGGCATGACCGTTGTTATTTCCAGAGTATTTCTATGATCCGATATCCTGCAAGGAATTATCCGGCTCCAATCCAACCCTACAGACTGGTGGACAACTTTGTTTTTCTTTTGATCTGGAGAAACGCTTAAATTCTTTCGCCTGACGAGAGAGCAGGCGATGTGTGTCTCCCCCGATGAGGCAAAGGGGTAGGACTTTTCCTATAAACCCTTTGCATGCCCTGTGATGAGAGTGATGCCTGGATTCCCGAACGTGTTCGCCAGGCCACCCACTCCCTGTGAGGAGGAGACCCCACTTAACCCAACCTAGCGGATGGAAGAGACATAGACCATGAGAAGTCTCTGCACATTTGAGTGGGACCGTGCAATGCGTGGGCGTTGTCAACCACCAGCGCTGGCTCCAGAGACTGATAGACAATCTAGACCACTAGACATTTCGTTCATCGTGTGCAAGCTTTCATACTAGTTCACACATACTTTGCTAGCTAGCTAGCGCTAGCGACAACCTTAAATGTCGTGTCGTATTACGATTGCCTGTCGTCTGAAAGCGGTTTTAAATTAAAGCACTGTGAGAGTATTTAGTTACTACTTACTATCATTAGGGATAAAAAAAAAGTCGGCATTCATTCTCAGATTTAAGTCACTCGTGGATGAAAGACATCCATCACGACCATTTGAAATCGTGACGCAACATCTAGGCGTATAACATGCCCGAATCGATTGACTAAAAACAACTTCAAACAAAGAGATTAGGCAAGTTACTTCGCAGTGAATATTGTTCCAATTTCAAATATAGAAATATTATGTGTGTATTACAATGCAGGCTAAACAGCTCGCTCGAACAAGCTCGAAGTATTATAAAATCCACATTAAGAAGAATAGAATATTCTTTACCTACTGCTTTTATTATGATTCAATCACATTAGAGTGATAAAAGTATTCAGAGTCGGATAGGAGCAGGGCGCATCCTTAGATTGATTTGATGCCCCAGGGCGACCGCACGTTTGGATGGATTTGACTACCGGTCTAAATACTTACAATTTTAAAATAAAATAATAATATTTTCGAAATATTTAAATAATTAACGATGCCACGTTCATGATCGAAGGTGTCGTTTCTACATACCTTTGAACTGGGTTAGGTTGCGAGCCACTCGGTTACGGCGGTCGTTGTAATGATTAATTATGTAAAAAAAAACAAGAATTTTATAGAGGGACGTTAACTGTATATTGATATTATAAACAGTTAATATTCAATTGTTTATTAATAAAATACACAGTTTAATTTCTGATTAAATCACTAATTAATTAAAACTGATTTTATATCTACAGGTAGAAAAGTAATTGTCGGGTTTAACACTTTTCTGTATTGTCTCGGGTGTGGATAGTGTAGAATTAAGTTTAAATTTCATCTTTTAATGCAAAATTTAAGTTACAGCTGCTTATATTAGAGGTTAAAGTATGAAAATGCCGTTTTATTGTAATAGGTTCCTTGAATTGACACAGAACCTTCACGGTTTGAGGTTTTAGAAAGAACCTTTTTCACATGGTTTCTATGATTTTCTTCTTATAAAAATGTGAAATATTTGAATATCGACTTTCAATTGTTTTTGTTATTCAACTTAGACAAGAATGATGGATACTGTGAAAATTAGAGTGATTTTTGAATACGTGTTCCGACGCGGAGGTAACCTAGGAATTAGCGGCATGGTTTAATGTTATCATACCCGCAATATTGACTCATTTGCGTCAAATCAATAAAATAAAAAAATACGAAAAATGGGTGCCTTATGATTTGACTGATTTGCAGAAAGAAACGCGTGTTGAAAGTTGTGTTGCCTTGTTGAATCGGTACAGAAATGAAGGAATATTGGATCGAATTGTGACATGACTGATGAAAAGTGGACGTAAAAGAAAAGTGCAATGGCTGACCCCAGGTCAAACACCAAAACAATGTCCTAAAGCAAAACTTACCAATAAAAAGGTAGTGGTAACTGTTTGGCTGTCTTAGCGTGGTGTTATTCACTATAGTTTTCTCCGATCTCCGATATTGTGCCGAACTCCGAACAATTTTGGCAAAACTAGCAGTAAAACAGCTCCGACTCATTAGTCGATCTTCACCATTATTGCTCCATGACAACGCGAGCGAAACCTCATACAGCACGAGAAACCGTTTTGACCCTTCAGGAACTGCAGTTAGAATCCATTCGTTATCCTCCGTATTCGCCAGACTTTGCTCCAACGGACTACCATTTTTTTCGTGATTTGGACAATTATCTACGTCACGAGAAGTTTTCTTCGCAGGAGGCTGAAAAAGGAGACAATATGCTGTCACACCGTTTGTGCAGTCTAGATCCTTAGAGTTCTATCGCAAAGGCATAAATTATGCCTTTGCGATAGAACGATTCATGCCGCATAAATGACATTCCTATTAGATGGCAGCAACGTATATTATCTGTACAATGGTAATAATTTGATTAAATAAACGTGTTAAAAATTTTAAAATTAAACAATTGTGATTTTCAGTACACATCGGCAATATCATATTTTAACCCCTATTACTTCGTATCAAAATATTATAATCTCATGTAATGAATAAAATAATATCCAAGCTTCAAAACATGCACATTAATATTGTATATTTTATTGCTTGTAAAGGAACGCGTCGCAACGGTAGTGCCAACCTTCTACTATCATGACACAACCATTCAGCGGTGCTTATGTCGACGAACTTCGCTCTATACAACTTTGTTACGTTGTCGTCTTGGCTGTCAAAATAACCACTTGTCAAATCGTCCATTTTCGTAGCGTTCACGTGTGAGCGATGTGAATTGTGAGTTATTAGTTTAGAAACATGGCTATGCTAGCAGGCCCTCGACGTAAACAGAAAGTAATAAATCTTCGTGCAAAGAATAATGCTTGGAGCAATGACTCAAACAAATTTGGTCAGCGTATGTTGGAAAAAATGGGGTGGAGTTCGGGCAAGGGGTTAGGAGCAAAGGAAAATGGCATTGTTGAACATGTAGTCGCTAGATACAAGAACGATGAAAAAGGACTAGGTTTTGAAGATAAGAATGATCAGTGGACTAAGCATGAAGACGATTTCAATGCTTTGTTATCAAATTTATCAAAAGGTGAGTTTGTTTACTTGTCCTTTATATAATTAGAAAAAAAAATTATATTATATAGTTTTAGTCTAGAGATTATAAATGACATAAAAGTTGATATAATATAAATTAGTAGCAAGTCTGATACCCAATTTTCACACATCATTAGATAGCTTGATACTATTCCTTAATTTTGTTTACAGATAAAGGTGACGATGAAAAGCTCCACAGTGGTGTTTCTTTAGAACATAAATCTAAAAAAAGTAAAGCCAGGGTGCATTATCATAAGTTTACACGAGGCAAAGATTTGACTCGATACAGTGAAAAAGACCTAGCCAATATCTTTGGAAAGAAAAGCCTTAAAATAACAGAAGAAACTGAAAAAAAGGTTGCAAACAATGAGATAATAGAAACTGAACTGAAGTTCAGTGAAAAAGGCAGCATGGAGGATTATTTCAAACAAAAATTATTAGCATTCAAATCCAAATCTAAAATTTTAGATGTTAAATCTATTGAAATTCAGCCGACTGATTCAGATTACATGTATAAAGGCTTTTCATTAGATTCTGATGAAAATGAACATAATTCAATAGAAAATTCTAATCAAAACATAATTGAAGATAATGTATTGACAACTATTAATGAAAAATTTAATGATAATAATGAAGACCAAACTAAGCCACTGAAAAAGAAAAAGAAGTCTAAGAGTAAAAAGAGAGAATTGACCACACTTTCAACTGATGTGGAGCAAGACATACCATTTATTGATGAAAAGGAAAAAAATTCAAGAAGCCAAGTAAATGAATGTGATTTAAAATCAACTAAAAAGTCTAAAAGAAAACAGGAAACTGAAGACTCACAGGAAGAAATACAAGATACAGTAATTCCCAAGAAAAAAAAGAAACGAAAAAATAAAGAGTTATATTAATATTTAAATATTTTTCAATAATTGTTTTTTATATAGTTGTTTTATAGTGTAGTTTAAGCTAGTTAAAAATAGCTACTATGCATATGATTTTCATGAGGCCCTATTCTATTTGTTGTTAAACGATATTTCGGAAAATTTTAAATCATTCTTATAATTTTGTTCAAATTATGCCCTTGTCAGTGCATCAGAGGCAGTGTCAGATTCTACCTTGGTTCCATTATAAATTATCGGAAATCGCGTTAATTAGGAGCCGTATTAGCATCTTGAAAATAAATTAAATTTTGTTTTCGAAGAAAAAGAATAGGCCGTCAGGTGTCATGTTAATTCGTACGAGTAGTAAGTAGGTAATGAAGTATCCGGTTTTGAATTGACGATAGCACAACGTGACGTCAGTGACGTTGCACGCGGTATACAAATTACAATACCCTTGTCGCCGCCTCCGCCATTTTGTGTAGTGATGTGTATTAGCGACCTTTGATGATGTCCGGCGAGTTGGAACAATCGATTTTTTTTTAAATATAGTGAATATAATTTAAACGATGCACTGAATATTTATTTTAGAATACGAACTCTAAACAAAGCACCTCCACTACATGGCGATTCGAATGGACTAAAGACAGCCAATTCCGTTCATTTTAACTAACATATTAAAAAACTGAAATTTGAAAAGTTCGAAACTTAGATATCAATATGAAAAAGTACAAATAAAATATGAGTTGTTTATTGAGTTTTGAAAACTAATTTACTTTTAAACATGAAAGAAAACCGGAAGGGTTGACATGGAGAAATCAAGAACGTACCGTAACGACATCTAGTTTGATTTCGGGAACTAATGTTTTTATTAAGAACTTCCTCATTAATCTATACAATTAAATGTTTCACATTTAATTAATAATTTTGGAAAATTATGCTTTTCTTGAAAAAATGTTTTCTTTTTTAAAGACGCTTTGCAAAGACGCTTTTTTCTATTATTATTTACTAATTATGACCAAGTAGGGTCGTTATAGATATCAACGGCTATATATCATGATATGTATCTAGATATATGTTGATATAGGTATATAAATTTATATATATCTATTATTTATTATTAGGTTAAGTATTGAGTCCCAGCTAGAAAAATTAACCAATTAGATGTAACGCTGGCAACATTGGCCCGAAGTATCAATTTTACTTACTAGAAAATTCAGATTTTATTACATATACGATATTTTAATTATTTTATAATAAATTACAAACATTAAAGAAATCTAATTACTATTAGATTTCTTTAATTAGGTCGGAAATCGCAACTTAATATAATATCGGATATTTATTATAAATATCGGATTTTTTATGAAAATCTATATTATAAGCAAGTTTTTTGTGGTAAAATTAAAAATTATGTTTTGTCTTTATATCCAAACGTATTGTATCAGTAGTAAATCTTATTAATTTATATGAACTGAAGAAATATGCATTATAAAACTCATCACAGTATTTCACAAATATATTTTTACCGATATTGCTTTCAACTAACTATTCAAATAGAATCAATTGAATTGTATGTATGCATAGTTTGTTACTTCACTATATTGTCAAAATGTTAAGTCGGTCGGCGTAGTTTTACGTTTGCATTGTATTTATTTGTTTTTGTTAGAAATGGTCTTTATTTCGATGTAAATCAATAGCAAATAATATTATTACTGTGACTAAAATGATAATAAACGAAAACAAACAATCATCTGTTAGTGAAACATGCCACATGTGTTCTGATAACCAATATTTGGAACAGACAATGAATGACCATGTGGGACAAAATTCATGTGATAATTTAACAGAACTAAATGAAAATAGTAATAAACAACGTGAAAGTAAGAAAAAGAAAGTCGGGAAGAAGCGGATACGTATTCCTTCAGAGGAGAGGGACGCTACCATTAGTGGGATAGATAAAAATGATTTGGATGAACTGAGATCAGTGTATAAGAAATGTAAAGCTATTGTAAATAAAATCGAAACAAAATACGGATACTTACTCAATCTTCAAGAAAGTGACATAGAGGAGAACAAACAAAATGCAGACCATGATTATGAGGCAACTTCTGAAAAGTGTGAATGTTCTGCTAATAAAAAAATTATATTTGATGATGATGGCAAAGTTATCACTAAGGAAACTGTCTTGGATAAACATATATGCCCCAAAAAATTGAAAAGGAGGTACAGCGATGCAGAAGTTACTGTAAATAATATTCAAGTTGAATATGAGACATCAGAATCATTACCAGATGATATTAATGAACTGTCAAGAATTTTACAGAATCCAGATTTAGAAACTACTTATAGAAATAAAGTTATTGATAAAGTTAAAATAATAAAACAAGATTTAATAAATGAAATAAAATTTAACAAAAAAATGTTAATTGAAAAATGTAAAAGCAATCCGAGTGATATATTTGAGTTTAGTGGCTCAAATCTAGACAGCTTGCCTGGTTATTTATAGTTGTATCGTTAAGTTTATATATTTTTTAATTTTACAATTACATACATTAAAAACAATTTATAATGTTTTTATTCCTCTTGTTTGTCCATAAAGATAGTTACATAATATTATTTGTTTCATTGTAGGGTGTAATCGTTTGATATACTGATTCGTTCATGAAAATTCTTCAATCTATGAGAAGTTACATCATACATGGGTGACAGGCTTTAATTTATGTGGACGAAGTCATGAGAAAACTGCTAGTATTTCTATACCACTACAATTCTTTGTATTGGTATTTAAAATACTATCCTCTGTACTTAAATTCAAATTCAAATTATTTTATTGCATGTCACATTCTTACAAACAAAGAGGTGGTTCATAATTTATGGTAGGATACATGTGACGTCCTGCTAGGACATGGCAACATCTGAGAATTTATCAGTTAGTATATTTATTAAATTGCGAAATATTCATCAATTTTATAATAACATTTTTCCAACAAATAGCATGTCAAATTTTTCTTAAAATCATTTACATTTTTCTTCAATTTTATGTAACCTGGTAATTTGTTATAAACTTTTATACACATATAATGCGGGCTATCTTTAAGTATTGTTAATCTTGATGGTGGAAGATATAATCTTTTTTTATGACGTGTGTTTCTACTGTGGGTGTCCTCAACTCTTGTGAATGTGTCTATGTTTTTATGTACAAAAACTGATATGTCCTGAATGTATATTGACGGCAGCGTGAGCACATTATATTTTTTAAAATACGGTTTACTACTCTGAGTTTTGTCTATGTGAGCTATAATACGTATACACTTTTTTTGCATTATGAAGAGTTCATCCGCATTTGTGCTGTTTCCCCACAACATTATTCCATATTTCAACCACGCGTGTGCATAGGCATTATATGCTGATATCGCTGTTTCTATGTTTGTACATTGCTTTAGTTGATAAAGTGCATATGTGAATTTAGATAGTTTTATTTTAATGGTTTCTATATGAGATTTCCAATTCAAATGAGTATCTATAGTTAGACCAAGAAGATTGAATGAATCAACGGTTTCTAGTTTAATGTTTTGATAGTTTATGTCTAAATTAAGGGGGGATTTTTTGTATGATTTGAACTGCATGATTTTAGTTTTCTCATAGTTAATTTCTAAATTGTGATTTTGAAGCCAAAGCGTTAATTTATTTAGGGTCTCATATATTAATCTCGTAGCATTATTAATATTATCACATTTTATTAAAATATCGCCGACGACCTGATAGGTCGCCGACGACCTATCAGGTCGTCGGCGAACAGAATAGGATGTATCGACTCACTAATTAACATATTTGGCAAGTCATTTATATAAATCAAGAATAAGATGCATCCTAAAACGCTGCCTTGTGGTATTGAACCCACCAATTCATTTTCTTCTGATTGAACTGTTGTTATTTCGTTTTTTTCTTTATCATAATTAAGAACTTCTACTATTTGTTTCCTATTTTTAAGATAAGATTGAAACCAATTGTATGCCAGACCTCGCACTCCCGAATCATACAGTTTGCGAAGCAATATATTGTAAGATACTCTATCATATGCTTTTGTCATATCGAGTAGTAAACCTACCGAATACATTTTATCGCTAATATTTTGAATTGCCTTTTGAATAAATTTAAATACTGCTGATGTGGTAGACCGATTTTTCCTAAAACCATTTTGGCAATCGTCCAATATTCTCTGTTTTTCTAAAAAACCGTACAGTCGTCTGAACATGGCTTTTTCAAATACCTTAGAGAAGGTAGGTAATAAGGCTATCGGCCTGTATTGGCTTATGTTAGTTTTATCACCTTTTTTATGAAGTGGTTTCACAAGTGATATTTTTAATTGGTCAGGGAATGAGCCAGTGGCAAAGCTCTGGTTAAGCAACAATGTTAGAGGAAATGATAATGTTTCTGCGCATTGTTTAATTAGAGCTGGTGGTATGCCATCCACACTACAGCTATATTTATTTTTCATTGTAGCAATTATTTTTATAATCTCCTTCCTATCCACTGGGTCCAAGTATAAGGAGTTCACGGGGGGATATCTTGATGAATTTCCACACGCATTTTTGGGTATTTTTGATGAGTTTTCACCAATGCTCGTAAAGTATTTATTTAACAGATTGCTTATTGATTTTGGGCATGTTATTATTTTTCCCTCTTTTTTTAGATTTATGTTTTCTGTTTTAAATTGTTTTGTTTTACCAGTTTTTTCATTTATTATTTTCCACATGGTTTTGGTTTTATTGTCCGATTTACTAATTTGCGTAGAATATTGTCTCCTTTTTGATATTTTTATGGTACTTTTTAAAATTTTTGAATATAATTTATAGTATACTTTAATGACGCTACTATTTGTTTCATTTAAAATTGTTCTTAGTATTCGTTTGTGTTTACATGACTTTTTTAATCCTGTTGTTATCCACCCTTTTTGTTGACGTTTGTTTTTAAGTGTTATTAATTGTTTTGGTATGTGTTTATCTAGTAATGAAACTATTATATTTAGGAATGAATCATAATTTGCATTTAAAGTATTTTTTAAGTTAAATGAATTAGACCAATTTACTTTTTCCAATGAATTTTTAAAATTTATAATTTTTTCCTTTGTAAAAATTCTTCTCATAACCTTCCATGGTTTGTTATTTATATGAGTACATTTTGCTAAAACTATGTTTACTGCTCTATGATCTGATAATCCATGATCTTTAACGTACGCTTGAACACTATTTTTTTGATTAGAAAATATGAGGTCGATGCAAGTACTTGATGTTTTTGTAATTCTAGTGCGTTCATTAATGAGTTGATGAAAATTGTGTGAATGCATTAAATTAGTGAGTTCATAGGTGTATTTCTTTTTCTCAAAGAAATTTATATTAATATCTCCTCCAATTATAATATGCTTGGTTGGATCCCTTGAAGTTAATTTATTTAATAGATTTTCAATGACTATAAGACTGTTTCAAAGTTAATGTATGTAAGTTTCATGAAGTCCACAGCTGAGTATAGTCCTTCCCCAAGATCTCCATGATGATTGGTCCTGTTCTGCCCTTATCCAACAGGTCCAATTCTAGCTTTGTGTCCAGTAGGACAATTTTGCTGTTTGTTTAATTATTGCATCTCAATTGAATCTCCAGTACTTACGAGTACTTTCTACCATTGCACTATCTACCTAATGACCAATACTATTAGTGCAATGTCTTCCTTACAAATCAAAGGTGACATAATATTATTAGAATTCAGGAAGATAGTACAATGGCAAAATGCAATTAGTTGAGATTTTGATGTTGTTATTATATAAATATTAGCAGAATTGTCTTCCTGCCCACTGTTACTTCCAAGCTGAGCAATGTCAGTAACATTGTTTCTACTATGGATCTCCTTGTTTCTAATTCATTCCCAGATAAATACCAAGCAGTGTTCTCATAAAAGAAGTTTTGTTTGTTGAATCTGTGTCATAGATTTGATTTCCTAACTTTCACATTTTGTAGGCTGGAATATCGATACATTGATAAATTTGTCGTTAGGCACATGATAATGTTATATCATTATAAAGTATACATGTAGCTCGGTGGCGCAGTAGATAAGCGCCGGGACCAGTTAACGTTGTTATTAAGCAACTTTCGCAAGGGTCGGTCACGGGATGGGTGACCAAAAAATGATTATCTCTAGCTACTTCGTGCTTTGGAAGGCACGTTGGCATTGGGCAAGCGTGGCTGGTTATGCCCCCTGCAGTGGGGGACGTAACAGGGCTCATTATGATGTTGATGCGTTAAAATATGAAATGAAAATATATTTATTCAAGTAGGCTTATTATAAGCACTTTTGAATCGTCCATAAATAATTTTACCCCTACTACTTTTACAGGACGTCTTTTAGCTGACAAGAACAAGCGAAAGTTTTGAAAAGACTGAAAAAAATACATCAATCTATATATATAAAAATGAATCGCAAAATGTGTTGGTAAGCGCATAACTCAACAACGCCTCGACCAATTTGGCCAAATCTTTTTTTAAAATGTTCGTTGAAGTTCAAGGATGGTTTTTACGGCGAGAAAAATTAGAATTATTGCTGGAAAAACCCTAAAAATAGCCCTTTTCTTTTTCCCATACAAATGATTTGTAACTAAAACGTAGTCAATTTGAGCTTTATTGCTATGGTATAAAGTTCATATTAAATTACAAGCACTCACTGTTGTCTAAGCAATGTAGGTGTGTTCCTAACGTCAAAGATCATATCTATCAAAACAATGTGCGTGTGTGCGTTGGAGCACAGAATACATAGTTGGAGGAGTTTAATGTCGCGTTCCGAAACTCGCTCGTTTCTTTTGTATTAGTTTCGGCACGCGAGATAAAATGCATCAGTTTCCACGTACATGTATTGCCGGAACATTGATGAAAATACGCTCTGTAGTAGCAAAGCTGTTGGGTCCTAGATAGCTCATTGGTTAGAGCAGTCCCTGGATCGCGAATGGGTTCGAGTCCCATTCCGGGGTACAGGTAGATGGATTCTTCCAGCATTTTTCCTTGAGAATGTTTATATATTTTTTTAATTCGAATAGTTTACTTTTATAATGCTGTTGTGTGTAATGTGTTTTTATGATCATAAAAATCTCTTTTTTCTATATTTAATACTATTACTATTAATACATTGCAATAATAATTATGATTCACATGATTAACAATAAAGCGATTACTTACTTTTAAATCCTTATATATGTTTTATTTAATTATTTTTTATTCACAACGCCCTATCACCAGGGTGACGGTTCTGTTCAGGAGAATTTTTTTAAATACGTAGGCAAAAAAACTGCCACATTACAAATCTTTTTGACAGGACGAAGTCTGTCGGGTCAGCTAGTGTTAAAATAAAAATAGCCAAGTGGATGCAGGGCTAACAAGTACCTAATATAACATTATAGCACCTTCCAACTTGATTTATATTCAGTAAGGATCAATCAGTGTGGCGATGGGTCTATAAGATCGTCAACTTGCCATCCAATATTCATATACCTACTACGTAATTTTAACCAGATTTGAACTTTATTACCTGTTGGATAGAACCGTCATGATAATTTAAAATCCGTTTTGTTTTCAAACATATAGAATGCCCATTGTATTTATGTAAACATTATATACGGAATGACACAAATTATAATGCGTTCTCAACTGAGATGTTATTTGAATTTAGAGCTTAGCGCAGTATGAAGTAGGTTCCTAAGGTTTCCACCTCTATAGAAGCGTAACTTGGTATGTCTGCAGTTTGTAGTGTTGTACTCTGATAGAATAATGATGTGGTCGCATACTTTTGCTGTGAACTCGTCAGCTTCGTGAAACGCTGGAATTTATGTTACTATTTGCAATGGGCAGTGTTAGTAGGCATTCAATTCTGTCTCATATAACATGCTTTACTATTTCAAACATATACGTATATTCAGCCACTTAAGTATTAATATAAATATTTGTCAGATCATCATGTGGACCATGCGGACGAAATTGCTGGCGTTAAGTTAAAATGGTTGTAATGTGATGATAATACTCATAATTTAAAACTGCATAAAATCTTTGATTGATATAAAGTTGATCCGCTTTATTTATAGGTC